TCTATAGTATCGATCGCGAGGGTCACTCATGCGTCGAAAAGACCACGATTGGACTTGTTTGTCCGTCGTGAACTGGGCGACGCATTAAAGAGAAACATCCGGGAGGTTTACCGCGATGTGACCCCTGTAATGAGGGTAGTCCTAAAACGCCATCTCAGCTATTGGGATAGGCGTCTTAAATTTCCATGGGACTGGCGTATTGACGTCTACAAACCCTGGAGGGACCGGCAATCCCTTCCAACCCCCATTACGCAGGAAGCCCGGGAGGAGTATACCTCGATCATGACTTGGAATGTTAATGGATTCCACTCCAAGATAATTGAGATTGAGGATGCCTTAAGGACGGAACGAGTTGCGGTTTGCGCTATCCAAGAGACCCTTGTAAATAGCGGCGCCAAACCTTTGGTTATCCAAGGGTACAACTCTTATACGGTCCCCTGGGAAGAGGGATTTAGAGGACAGGCTGTATTAATAGACAACAGATTACCTTCCTATCGAGTCCCCCATGAGGAGCCATGGCTCTTACATGTCAAAATATCGCATTGGCGGCATGCCAGTGGTGCTAATAAGGTACTACACATTATGGGCGTGTACTTCCCCTCCGGAGGAAATTACAGAGGCAGCAGACGTAAAAAGGTGCAGCGCCTCGTACAAATCACCAATGAAATTTTTGAGGAAAAACCTACAGACATAGTGGTAGTGTTGGGGGACTATAACATGGCCTTCGACAAGTTGTCTAGATACCTAAACAACTGCGACAATATAATAACGGGCATACATACGCGTGGTTCTAACTTTTCTCGATTCCCAGTTAGAGGAGGTCCTTCCGACCTCGACCACATAGTAGGAAGCCCCGATGTATATACATTTTTTCGCCGTCCACGAGTCTTAAGAAGGTACGCGGCTAGCGACCATCGCCCGGTGCTACTAAAGTGTCGAATTGTAAACGACGCCCCAATAGTACGCAACAACCGGGTTACATATAATAAAAAGATGATCAACCGCGGAAAGGAAGCGTTAGTTCTCTCGAATAAATGGGAGACCCTCTACGACCGACTTACCTACAGAGGTAGGCAAGAATTATGCACGTTCCGGGGCGAGCTGTCCCTGGGTACGGACAAATTTAATGACGTCTTCGATGAGGAGTGCAGGGACCTCCAAATGAAGAAAGATGTCGTAGATGGCAAACCGAAAACTAAACTTCCAAGAAAAATACAACAACTCTTAAGCCGATACAAAGGTTACTCCAAGCGTCTTGCCCAAGCAGAACGGCAAGGTAGCGCTGATGCGGATCACCTGCGTGTCCTATATTCCAGAGCTCGAAACAAGTTCCGCAAGGAGCAAGGGCAATGGAAGGCAAAACAGCGAGAGTTGGAGTACTCCAGAATAGCCGATGACATGGCCTCGTATGACTTTAAGTCAGCATGGACACGGCTGAAAGCGCGGACGAATCTGTCGAGTTCTACGGGCGAAGGACAGCCCATGAAACCTAGTCAACCTCTAAAGGATGACAAAGGGCATTTGCAGACAAGCCCAGAGGGTATACAAAAAGTGATGTCTGACCATTATAAAAAGCTCCTTCAGGACGATAAAGATGGTCAGATGCGCGACTATGAGTACTGGCGCGATAAATTCCCATATCAGGATGAGGTCAGTCGGGACTACGAACATCTGGGCCTTAGCGCTCCGATGGAATGGCCCGAATGCCTATCCTCAATCAGGGAGATGAACGGGGGTACATCTCCAAGTGAAGACGAGCTCCATATAGACGTCTTCAAGGGTATGGTCGGCGAGGAGTGTATGGCGGAGTTGAAAATTCGGAACCCACAGTTCGTACGCAAGGATAATATCCAAGTGAACCTGCCGAAGAAACTGCTCCCAATGCAACCAAGAACGCCGATGGGGAAAGTAGTGTTTCACCTACTTAATTCAGCTTGGGAACTGGGGGATATCCCAGAGGCCTGGGAGGAGAACACCATCGTCTCTTTGTTCAAGAAGGGCGATCCCGAGCTACCGAATAATTATCGGGGCGTAACACTCATCTCTGTGTTGGAGAAAATCCTGACCGGAGTTATGATGGCACGTCTATACGGGACTCTAGAGAGTGCGGAAATTTTGGACCCCGAACAAGCGGGTTTCCGTCCCGGTGAAGAGGCCATTGGCCAATTCATTGCACTTGCAGAAATAGTCCGGCGGCGCGGAGTAGTTGACGAAAAACTCCGTATCACACCAACCTTTGGAATCTTCATTGACTTCAAAAAGGCATATGACAAAGTGCCTCACGGGATGTTGTGGGTGGCTTGTGAAAACATGGGGATCAAAGGTCATATGTTGCGTATGATCAAAGCACTCTACAAAAGAACACGAGTAGCCGTACGGGCGGGGGGCGGCAATGCTGAGGCTTTTGACCTATGGAGAGGTCTCAGACAAGGTTGCCTCCTTTCACCTATACTTTTCATTATCTTTGTAACAAATCTTCTGCAGTACATTCGATACCAGGACGTGGAACATGGAGTCGATGTACCGCATAAGATGATTTGGGACAAGAACCAGGCGAGATGTCTTGGATTGCTATATGCAGATGATGTAGTTGGCTTTGAAGGGAGTATTGAATATTCTCGGAAATTCATATCCAACTTGTATAGATGGAGTAAGGACTTTGGAATGGAGATAGGATATGATAAATGTGGTATAATGCTTCAAAGGGGAGGTCAGGTCTCCCCTATTGGAGCAAGTGGGGGCACGGTCTTACCCGCCGGCTTCGGCTTCCCCGCTAGTCCTCAAACCAGAGGGCAACACTGTCAAATTGTTCCGGAACACCCTAAAGCTCGTTGCGCCGCCCATCGTATAGTAATAGAAATGGGCACCTCACAGTCCTGAGGGTATGGAAACAGTCAACGAGATGCAGCTTGAAAAGGCGAATGGGTTATCGGCAGCGAAGGTCCTCACTCCGGAGTGATCAGCGTTCAACGACTAGACGGCAGTGGGCCCGGAATCGCAACTTCTGGGCTTAAGATATAGTCTTTATAACAGGGAAACTTGTGGTCCGCACCTAAACACTACAGGCTGGTTTTATGCTTTCGAGCATACCTGTGGGAGCCCGAAGTCGGACAGCCTCTGAAGTCGACCGTTTAGTTAGTGGACAGGTTGCCAGCTGTCAGCTGTGGGGGAAAACTGTACCCCAAGAGGTAGATATTCTCGCCTGAGGCTAAACAAGGCTGCTCGCATATGGGTTAGAAAGTGCGCACATTACCTACACGTTTGTATCTGCGAAGTCATTGGGAGCCCCAAAGGCATCATGAAAAACCAAACTTCGAATAGAGAGTGGCGCTGGTCAGGAGATAATTGGAAGGGCAAAGCTCGGTGGACTCCCTAGTAACTCATAAGTACAAGTAAATCGTGGCAGGGTCCCTCCCTTGGTAAAGGAGGCTAACAAGAAGGATACAGAAGGCCCAGCTGCGTAGGGAAACATTTTGAGACCTGGTTCAAGTCGAGCTAACCCGAAAAGGTGGACCAAGATTCTGGGAATCTGCTCCTCAAAATCCCCCACCATTTATTTCTGTTCTTACCCGAAAAAGCCATTGGCTAGTTGTTGCCGTAGAGAAAAGCAATGTGGTCAACGGATAACGCACTGCGATTGCGCTTCGAACAAACCAAATTTGCAACACCAGAGGGAGAAATCCCGAAGGTGGACCACTACAAGTACCTGGGGATCACGGTAGATCGTTTCTTTGCCGATTCTCGGGGAGTTATCGAAGGTGAAGCCAACACTGAAACCAAGTACGTTAAATACTTGGCCGATAAGGGTCGAAAGACCTTACATGCACTAAGGCCAGTGCTCACCGACCGCTCTTGCCCTTTGCCCATAAAAGTGGCTGTAATCCGCACGTTTCTCATCTCCCGCATGTTATACGGAGGAGAATGGTTGGCGTTTAAGCAGACCAATGCTGCCCCAATTCAACGAATCGTCAATACGGCGATTAAGTGGTCGTTGGGACTACGCAGCAACGATACTGTAACTGAATCCTGGACATTGTCATATGAACTTGGCATCCCCTCCGTCGAGGAGGAAATGGCGGCAGCCCGAACGCGGCTGTTCACCAAAGCCAAGAATCGCTCACGACCGATGAAGACATGGCTTCATGAGTTGACCACACTACCAATGTGGGGGCAAAAACGTACGTGGCTGAGTACATCAGCACGAGAAATACAATTGCTCTTGAGTAAAAAGGATAAATACGGGACTCTTTTAAATAGACGGGGCGCCGCCCCAAGGCAACAAACGCCACCAGCAGGACCACGCCCGAGGGATGCCTTGGATTTGGGACAGATTGAGGAGCTGTTAGAGGGAGTGTGTCATGACGGTGATATCCCTCTCCGTGAATGGGCCTTGAGAGGTAGGATGTACGAATTGCATATCCGGTCAAACCGATATTCGTCACCTATGCTAGATGAAATAAGAAATCTTCTGGCAGGCATAGTCGACCCCGAAGACGTGGACTTACAGTTCCCTGAGGGTTTAGAGCGAACAGCTCTACGCATTATGGATAATTCCTTCGATGCGGCTTTCGAGCGATCCCAGATGTTGACCTTAGTGGCCAACCCAAAGAAAATGCACTGGGAACATGAGACGGTACGTTCCGTCCGAGACTGTGTATTGGAACGTCAGATGGAGGCTAACCATTCGGTTACCTTTGAACAATGGTACGACAAGTATGCCCTCGGTGCAACGAGGGGTTTCATACGAGCCTCCATCAGACGACCCGACTTGAGAGACGGTGTGAAATGGCTAGTAGCGGCTCGAACCCGTTCTTTTCCACGAGTGGAAGAACGGTGGCGAGCAATCACATTTTCTGGAGAAACCCCTAGTTTCTCTAAAGAGAACTGTCCTTTGTGTCAGTCTCCGATCAAGCCAGGGTGGGAATGGGCACACCTGATGCTGGAATGTAAACATGCAAGAGTCCGAGGCGCACGACGGCGCCACTTGGGGACTAGCATCA